AGTCACATATCTGTTCATTCGAGAACTCTTCCAACTCCACCATCTCCAAGGAGAATTACTTTAAAAAGCAATGATTTTCCTGCCATTATTAATCTCAAGATCTCTGATTTCAGCACCTTTAATTGTTCAGTTCAAACATCATCATTATCTCTAGGACTGTCTGGAAGATTCACCTGGACACGGACAACAGGGAAAGCGGTTCACCACTGTGCCGGGCTCATTATAGGAGGGCAGGGAGTTTCTCGCGGCCACACGGAGGAAGCCTGGGAGCTCCTGTCCAGTCAAGGACCCAGCAGGCAGGACGCGTCGGTGGCACTGCCGACCCTCGAACTTCTGAAAGAATTGCCATTAAACTAAATTTCCATTCTCAGTTAAATTCTAGCTCCAGAATGAGGAGGAAATGTAATTCACAGAGGAAAAAAAAGGTAGTTTACCACAAACCTTTGCTGAGAGATCTCCTCACATTTCCCTCTCAGGAAGAGGGAAGTTAAACCCAGGAGGAAGTGGGGGGCGGGGGGCGGGGATGCAAGAGGCAGCCATAAGAAGGGGCACTGATGAACGTGTGAGAAGCAGAAGGAAGCATTAAGTCCGTAGAACAACGATAATAGTGACTAATTGGAGGTATATTAAGACAAGGCGTGTACAAGATTGTTTTCAGACATCAAATTTTTATTTTAGACATCAAAATATGAAGGAAGGGGCTTCCCTGGTGGCCCAGTGGTTAAGAATCCGCCTGCCAACGCAGGGCACACGGGTTCGAGCCCTGGTCTAGGAAGATCCCACATGCCGCGGAGCAACTAAACCCTTGCGCCACAACTACTGAGCCTGTGCTCTAGAGCCTGTGAGCCACAACTACTGAAGCCCGCGCACCTAGAGCCTGTGCTCCACAACGAGAAGTCACCGCAATGAGAAGACCATGAGCTGCAACCAAAGAGTAGCCACCGCTCGCTGCAACTAGTGAAAGCCCGCGCAGCAACCAAGACCCAACACAGACAAAAATAAATAAATTTTTTTTAAAAAAGAAAAAAAAAATTAAATATGAAGGAAAACCTGTATGAGAAGGAAAATTAATCATGGTTACCTCATGGTGTAAATCGCTTGGATATATGCATGGTAATGAACATATTCAAGTACTGCGTTGGCCAAAAAGTTTGTTCAGTTAATGAATACGTTGTTCAAGAAAGTTCTTGGTGAAAATGAAAAATGTGTCTTATTTTTACTTAAAACTGAACGAACTTTTTGACCAACCCTATACTTACCTGATGTTAGGCCTACATTGAAGGGATGGGAATGCGTGGGGAGTGTGTGTGTGTGTGTGTGTGTGGTGGGAAACAGGGAGAACAGAGCTAAATCTTCCTTCTCCACAGTGTAAAATTAGAGGATAATGCCCCAAACTCATGTTATTTACAAAAAATGAAGGTGAACACCAAAATAGTCTGCTAAAAAGGATGAACTAGGCGACTGGGGAGAGGAATAGGGCAGGGCACTGTTCTTTTTTCCTCTGTAATAAGCACTGTAAACATGTTTGACCATATGTGCAGGTGTAGCTCATAAAAAACAACTTAAAAATATGAATATAAAAAATTTTTTAAATCTTTTGAATAAATCTTGCTGGCAACTTTCTGTGCTAGGGTGGCATCATACATTTTTATTATCACACATTTTTATTATTTTGCAAAGGGTCTTCTATGCTCACACTTTATCTTCTAGAGCTTATTGTAGAAGTATGACACTCAGAAAACTCATCAAAGCAACAATGACCTGAATGCATTCTTTGTTCCAATGGAAATGTTCCCATTTCAATAACTATTAGCTTTTAATTATACAATAATCACCTAAAAGTTTCAAAAACCCCTCATTGTTGTATAAAAACTCTTTCCAAGAAAGGGTAAAAGGCATTTTGAGAATATGAAATTCTTTCATAAATAAAGGGTTAGTAGTGTATAATTTTAGGGGACAGTTCACATCAACCCACAAAATAAATTTAAATTTTCAAGAATATGCTAGTAATCAGATGCAGAAAAACAAACATCATATGATATCACTTATGTGTGAAATAAGATGATACAAATGAACTTATTTACAAAACAGAGACAGACTTAGAAAACAAACTTATGGTTATCGAAGGGGAAAGAGGCGGGGAGGGATAAATTAGGAGTTTGGGATTAATGTATACACTACTATATACAAAATAGATAAGCAACAAGGACCTACTGTATAGCACAGGAGACCTTACTCAATATTCTGTAATAACCTATACAGGAAAAGAATCTGAAAAAGAATGGATATATGTATATGTATAACTGAATCACTTTGCTGTATGCCTGAGACTAACACAACACTGTGAATCAACTATACTCCAACATAAAATAAAAAATTTAAAACAGATTATGCTAATATTGTCTCTCAAGATTCAAAAGTAAATTAAGACTTTATTATAATTATGCATGTCATTTCTAATAATTGACACATTTTACATATATGTATTTAGAAAGAAAAAATAAATTTAAGAGGGAAAACAGTAATGAGTCCACAAATGAGAGCACAGGGAGGAAATATGCTCTTTGCCATTAGAATAATCTTAGAGGTACTTCCTGTAATCCTCCCTTGTCTACCTTTCAGAAGGCAATTTTTACAAAATCAAAAAACACAGACAAAATATGGTGAGATGACTGAATGTTAGGAGGCAGAATTGAATCTCCGTAGGTTATACTTCCTTTGGGGGTACTGCTTATTTTCCAGGGAAGGACTGTGGGTGTGCCGTGCTGGATATTACCCTTCTTGCAGGAGCCCCATGCTCCACAAGTGCTGGATCTCAGTGCAGGGCCACCACTGCAGGAGGGGAAGAGCAAGGTGGAACCTTGGCGTTGGCTGATCTGTGTCCCATGGGGAGCTCTTCTGTGGGGACTTCCACAAATGACAGCATGTGTGCAAGCAGAGTTGCAGAGTTCTAAAGGACCCAGAAGGGGCACAGTAGAAAAGCCCTGGGCTACTGCTATCGACGGAACCTCTCTGTAGCCATAGACTGTGAAGGTCGGTAATATTTGAGTTACAATAAAATATATACGAACCCGGGCTGTTCATTCACCAAGTTTTTATTGAGCACCTACTCTGTGCCCAGCACTGCACTAGGTGCCATGGAGAATACAAGAGAAGATACAGTGTCCGCCCTCAAGGAGCTTACAAAACTAGAGGCAGAAATCAGATGTACATGTGACTCAGGCAGCATGTGATATATACAAAGAGTACAACTACAGATAATGTAGTGGCGAAGAGACACCCGAGATCCTCAGCGGCTGGGAAGAGTCTCTTAGAGCAGGGGAGGAGTTAAAACTGGCTAAGCAGGGGGGGGGGGG